GCAGCACTCAGGAGGAAAAGGAGGTGGATTTCAGTTTAAGGCTAGCCAGAGCTACACAGTGATACTCTCTTTAAAGATAAACAAAAACAAAAAGAATAAGTAGGGTGGAGGTGGTGGTGGTAGTTCAGCTGCTAAGAGTACCTGCTGCTCTAGCAGAGGACCCGAGTTCAATTCCCAGAATCTACATCTGGGATGTAGATTGCCTGCAATCTAGCTCTAGGGCTCTGATGCTCTCTTTTGACTTTTTCCAGCATTCCATCCCACCTGTACATACAAAGAAGCACACATATATGTAAGTACATAAATAAAAGTGAAAAAAAATCTTAAAAGAAAAAAAGCATTTTGGGGTTTTTTGAGACAGAGTTTCTCTGTGTAGTCCTGGCTGTCCTAAAACTTGCTTTGTACACCAGGCTGGCCTAGAATTCATGGAGATCCACCTGCCTCTGCCTCCCTGGTGCTGGGATTACAGGTGTGTGCCACCACTCCCGGCTGTGTGTCCCCTCTTGGGAGGCTCACGGATTCCCTACCTGGATGTGCTGAGAGCAGAATCAATCTGAAGCCCCATCAGAACCGAGGGCCACAGTATTAGGACATCATCTCCACAATGATTATGCTACAGTCAGCTGGAAGGAGCCATCCAGAAAGATTCTTGGGAGAACCAGCCCCAGCCCCACTCCCATCTTCCTGTGCCCCCAGTCTACCCACCAACACACATACCCGAGAGTACTGCAGCTTGTCCACAATGTCATCACTAGTGAGGGGGATTAAACCTGTAAGACACAGGGAAATGCTCTGCAGAATAGCCAACAGCAGGAACCTCAAGTAGGTCATGGGGGCTGGGGACAGGGAGCATGCTACTTTGATCCCTTCCACCTCAACAGCAGCACTCACCAAGCCTGTGGGCAATGAATTCATCGTGAAGGACCGAGGAATTAGCATCAATCTGAACCCAGTCGATGGCTGGAAAAGGCAAAACAGCATGAGTGAGGACTAGCCACCAGATTCCTGTACAGACCTAAAGCATTGTTTTCAATCACTGAGTGCCCAGCACTCGAGTGACAGAGGCAGGTGGATCTCTGTGAGTTCGAAGCCAGCCTGGTCTACAAAGTGAGTTCCAGGACAGCCAGAGCTACACAGAGAAACCCTATGTCAAAAAACAAAAGAAAGAAAGAATGAACCAGTCAGTGCTTACAACGTTGGAGCCCAGGCCAGGCTGCCAGAGGTTCCAACTCCAAAGTGACAGTTCAAGTTTAGGCATCTAGTTTTAATAAACCATACACACCATACCCAACACTTTGCTGATCCAGTGAAATGGATATGGGGCTTGGTGGTGCCACAAAACACCAACAAAAACACTCACTTAGAGAATATTGTGGTGGTGGGGTATTTAGGGAGTTGAATATTTTCTTAAAGAGCACTTTAAATGTGTTTCCTGTGTCAATACCAAACCCAAGAACAAAAGTTATTTGGGCACTTAGAAATTGGGGGAAAATACGGATTGGAGGGATGGTTCAGAGGTTAAGAGGTTCCTGGCACCCATGTCAGGCGGCTCACAGCTGCCCGTAATTCCAGTTCTAGGGGGATCTGAGACCTCTGGCTTCCTCCAGTACCTACATTCATCTGTAAAAACCCACACACAGAGACGCAGTTAAAAATAATTTTTAAAAATCAAGAGTTTCTGATATAACCAGATAACCCGTTTAGAATGTCAGTGTTACTCCCATCAACAGACGTTCACTGGATGTTTTCAACAGAGAAAGTACACGGAAAATAAAACCCAATCCCTCCCAGTTCATTCCTGGGAGCACAGGACTGTACGCTTAGAGGTTTCACTTGAAAACATGTACCTCGCCATTCGTCAGCAAACACCTGCATGTACAATGAAATTCAGAAATCAAATGGTGCTAGAGCCCAATTCTCAAATAACGGGCATGGACACAGGGGAAAGAAGTCAGAAGATTAGACAATGATAGGCCCAAACGGCTCTGCCTGCAGTACCTCCTCAACCCAAGCAAGGACCACATCCAAGCTTTCCTGACTCTGTGCTTCCAGGCCTTACTCTCCAGTGCCATTGCTCTACTTCCCAACAGTCTAATCCTCCCAAAGCCTGCCCCACAGGTGAAAAGCCCCAGTCTCTAAAAACAACCGTGTGTGTATGTCTACAGATGGTTCCACCCCCTCCTTCTGAGTTCCTTCCTCTCTCAAAAAACAAAACCAACACAAAACAAAAATGGTTCAGACTCCCTTTAGACACCTGTCATATTTGCACCTGAAAATTTCCATGATTTATACATGCAGAAGAAATAAGAGTTTCACTTAAGACACCTCCCAGAATGGATAAAGAAAATGTGATCGTCTCAGTCTCTCTCTCAGCCTCCCTCTCTCTCTCACACACACACAGTTCAACTATAAAGAGCAAAAGTTTTTCGTTTGTAGAAGTCCTAATAACAAATATGCTCTTTCATGCGGAATCTAATTTTTTTAAGGGAGAGGTCAGGACCTTCAAGATGGTTCAGTAGGGTAAAGGTACTTATTTGTTGTCAAGCCTTAATACTCAAATTCAATCCCTGGGACCCATATGATGGAAGAAGTGAATCCCTCCCACAAGCTGTACTCTGACCTCCACACATACACTATGATACCCTTGAGCCCAGAGATAAGCACATATATGTAAATAAATACAATGTTTTAAAGAGAAAGGGACAAGAAGTATAGGGTACTATCTGGAAGGACCAGAGAGACCTGTGCGAGGGGAAGAAAAGGAAGAGATTATGAATGAAATCAATGAATACAATCCAAATCGAACCATGTGTGAGCGTGTGTATGAAAATGTCATAACGAAGCCCATTATTTTGTAAAATTAACATACACTTTCAAAAGACACCCACCAGCACCAAACACTGACTTAATAGTAGCAAAGGCGCCTAATCTACACGACTTCGGTAACTGCTGAGATCACCTGCTAACGATTCCTTTACGGACGAGGATGCTAAAGCTCTCGGGAGTTTAATGATGTTTAGTCTTATTTCTGTGGTTTTTGGGTAGACGGACAGCGCTGGAAACCAAGCACCAAGGCGGGCCTGAGCAGCCCCGGCCCAGGGCGCAGCACCTCAGTGTTCTCAGCCCCCTGCCCGGAGCGGAGGGTCGCGTACCTATTATGGGCACCTCAGCGATGAAGACCCTCCGAATGGAATTGGCCACCCTACAGGAGGAAAGGCAGGCGGTGTGAGCGGCCCCGAAGCCACAGCCCCGGGAGCAGGGTCCCCAGGGGCCGGCCGCCCGCCCTTCCCCTCGCCGCCTTACGCCAGGTCCGTGTTCTCGATAATGAACTTGACGTTCTCCTCGGTGAGCTCCGTGATCCGCACGGTTGGCTGGTTGGCGTATGGCATCGCGACCCGCAACCAGCCTCCTGTGTCAGACCCTCAGCACGCCTACGCCGCCACCAGCAGTTTGTCGGCGGCGTACCCGGCGCTTCCGGCTAGACGTGCGCGCAGCTCCACCTGCCGACCGGAGGTCGGAACTCTCCGGATCTGCGTTTTCTAAGCACACTGGCGCCAAAATGCGTCAGGTCCAATGCTACTGAAATCCCCAAGACACAGAGCACAGAAATACATGTACAGGGTCATTCAGGCTAATGTTATTTGTAATTGCTAAAAATAACTTATTAGGCAAAGATGGGTGGACACTTGGTTAAACACACACACACACACACACACACACACACATATATAAATAATTTTTAAAATACATAGGAATACAATGAAGCCTTTTTAAAAGAACAAGCCTGTACATAAACAAAATGGCTGGAAGGTGACTCAGTATGTAAAACGATTGATGTACAAGAGTGAGTATTCTAGTTCAAATCATCAGAACACACTGTAAAGCAGGACATGTTAATGCAAAAGCCTGTAATCACAACGCTCCTTTGAGTTGGAAGGAGGAGAGAGAATCCCCTAGAAGTTCTCAGGCCCGTTAGATAATGTATAAAGAAGGAATCAAAGAAAGACCCAGCCCTGAGCTAAGGTTTAGCAAGAGTGCTGTAATGCATTATGCATACACATGAAAAACAAAACACATGTATTTTTATTATATATGTGTATATGTATGTGATGGTAACAACACATCATCTGAGTGGAAGGCAATGGATGTGAGACTCAATTCTCTCCTTCACCATGTGGGTCCCAGGGATTGAATTTGCCAGACCTGACTACAAGTACTCTTATCTACTGAGCTGCCTGCCTCAAAAATCCCCACAGTATACTTCAACAACGCCCCTATGTATTAGATGATACACATTTTCCTTTCTACTCTCCATTATATGATGTACTTCTGAAGTAAAGGTACAATGCTCTCCACTTCCACAGAGCTGTGTAGTTGCAACTGAAGAGTTTAAATGGGCCTCAAAAAAGTGGCAGCTGCTCACACAGAGAAAAAAGGCCCTTTAACAGAACCCTGAAGGAACTACATTTAGAGGGCAGAAGTTACCAGAGAATAAAGAGATGCTATAACAAGGAGTTATAACAAGAACATTTCTTCCTGATAGAGGAAGGCATTGACAGAGGGGGGCCTCCTCCACTGCACATGCCATGAATTATGAACCACACTAGCCTGCAGAGTAAGAGAGGGATGTTCTAAAGGACAGAGAAGAGATGAAATGTAATTATATGGCAGTAACTTTATGGGATGTCAAGAGGCATAAAAAAAAAATCAGAGAGGTACAGAAAGAGTTCTACAAAAAGCCCACAAGATCTGAAACTCAACTTTGCCCATCAGGAGAAAAACAGTGCTATCCATGGGCACAAGGGAAGCCCAGCCAGTGTAGAGGCTGGGGGACTGCCCTCAAGTAGCCAGAGACTAGTGCCCGGAGATGCAGAGCAGTCAGAGTGGTCCTGTAGGTTTGAGCAGTGCCAAGGCCAGACCTCAGATCTCTTCCATATACTACTGTCTGCTGGGATCGTAGATACTTGACATTGTTTAGATGGAAACTGTACAACGGGAAATTGTCTCAAACATATTTATTATTTTTACAGATTCCAAATACACTAGTGATCCTGCAATGCATGCTGGTGTCTGTGAGGCCAGGCCTGGGATCACACTTGTGGTCAGCTTAGCATGGCTGTTCAGAAGGCACCTGTCTATGGGAGGCAGCTTTCTGAGGAGATCCAGTGGCAAATACCTTTGTGAGCACACTGTCTTCCCTGTGCTGGGGAGGAGCTGCCACTGTGTGCTGGCTTCAGATCTTGGTTATGAGCCCCTACGAATATTTCTCAGAGGATTTTGTTGGATGGGATCACACTATGCAGCTCAAGCAGCCTTGTAATTCTCTACATAGGAACTCTCAATCCTGCTGTAGCAGTCTCCTGAGTGCTGAGAATATAGGTATATGTCACCATGCCCAATGTCCAGAGAGCAGTTCTAAGGTCAAGACCTGACCAAGGTGCCTCTGAGACCATGCAGAGTCATGCCAAATTTCTGTGGTTTAAAAGCATGGATGTAAGTCTCATTTTCAATCATACAGCTGCAATGCAGAACATCAGTAGGCCAGGCCTGGTAGAAGTGGCCCAATTCCAGGTCAAACAGTAACAAGTGTACTGTGATCTCCAGCCTATGGCTGTCCGTGACTCCAAGTTCTTCAGTGTGTTCTCTTTAACATCCTGTTAAATGGATGGTGCATCTTGTCAAAGCTCTTCATATCTACAGCTGCTCCTTCCAGGCACATAGGCTCTCCCTTTCTCTCACCGGCGCTGGTTTAGACCTGTCAGGTTCTTGAGCTAACAACACAGGAATAGAAGCAGAGAGAATGGTGAGGCTTGCTTTACCTCTTAGGACTACAATGGGAAATCCTGGGGTATTGAAGGCAGTAGGTTATAGCTAAGATACAGATTCAAGTATACTGGAGGCCCAGAGGCAGAAGTGGTCTTCTTTTTGCAGGGAGGAGCTTGCCATATGGATGAGCTGGCCTGGAACTTTTTACCCTCCTGCACAGTGCATTAGCATAATGAGTGATAGAATACAGGTATGCACTGCACCTCCTCCCTCAGCTCTGGGAATTGTTTCTTGATGCCAACAAAGAATGGGTGGAGCATTGGAGAATAAGATGCTGAGGCTAAACCAAGGTCAGTTTTATTCAGCTTCAGTTTAAGGCTCCATAGCTATATGGGTGGTGATATGTTACAAATAGCACAGGACCAGAGTGGAATGGGAGACAGGCGGTGACCAACTGGGCAGTACTCACCGTGACCGCTGCGCCCATCAGTCCTTGCACCAGTGCCTCTCCAGTGGACTTCACCTAAGAGGAGTCTGGGTCAGATTCTCTTAAGCCCCAAGAGTGAGCTCAAAGGGGAAACAGGTAGGACAATTCACGAAGCCTATGAGTCTCACAGTGGAGTCAAGGTGGTTTAATGTACTGGGAAAGAGCCTAGGGACAACACAATCACAGACAGACAGAGCAGACTTTTAAGGAAGGGCTAGCATGAGGAAAAACAGCCAGCCTCCTTGGGAAGGCCTTTAGGAGAGTCAGTTCAGGACAACAGGAAGCAAGAGAATAGCCAGGTGATCACGTGTTTGAGACAGACAGGTGTGCCTACTATTGAAAAGGGTTTCCAAATGACCAGTCCCCAACTACCTGCTTTGCCGTGTGGCCCATGTTCATTGCATCATTAATCCGGTTTTCCAGGAAACGCCAAGTGTCTTCGTAGTCTGGGGAGGAATCCTGCATCATCACCAGCTCTGTTGTGTTGTAGATGCCAGCTAGCACTGCACGGCGGGTGTACCAGTTGAACTGCAGAGAGACCCACCCGGCAGGTGGGGAATCACTGCTCTGTGGGTTAAGGGAGTCTTGGGTTCTTCCCATTCAAAAGCTCAGAGACTCCCAGGCTCCTTCCTCACTCCTCTCTCACTGACACATATGGCCCTCTGGATACCACTGTTGCCCCGATCCTGGCTGGACATCAAAACTGCCTGTGAGATTAAAACTATAAGCTCCTGTTCCAATCTTTTAGGCTGGGGTCAGAGGGTCAGAATTAAACACCAGGAAGGGGGAGGTTTAACGAGCAGCCATAGTGATTTGACTGGTGAAATGCCCAGCCCCCTGAGTCCTAGGGAGGTTCTACGATCCAACAGTCATGACTAAACCTTAGCATGGTCTACCACACGGGGAGGGCTGAGGCAAAATCAGGGACACTGGACAAAGCTGAAAGTCTGAGTCCCTGGTGATTTCTGTCAGCCCTAGTAATGGCTCTTCAGAGGACCAGCTCAGCTACTCAGTGTTTTATTCCTTTCATTTCTTTGCTTTCTAATTTTGTTTTCCTACCATCTCTGTTGGTGGTCTATTTCCACACAGAGCAAGTTTATTAAAGCACTTTGTTATAAGTATGGTGGGAGTGTGTATCTACCTTCCCATCCTAAGGCTACAAAGTGCCATTACATTTTAATTTCCTTTATGAAGGTATATTTTGTTTTTTTTTTTAAATACCCCACCAGAAATATGGTAGCATTAACAAGTCATATTCTCTCTGGTGCCTGCTTAAAGGGGCTTACTGATCTCCCAGCAAAACAGGTCAAGATGGAGAGAAGTTTCTTTTTAAAGCAATGGGTGTCTCCATGTATTTCTGTTTTTTCTCTCAGAGTCAGTTTCAGCAAAAGCACACATGGGGGAATTCTGCTGCAGAATCCTGTCTTAGGAGACTGAGGGGAAATGGCTAAAGCAGTACCATCTTAAGTCCCCAAGGACGGTGCCACCTCTACAGGTGGGAAGGATAGTCACTGGCTCATGCCCCAGTGCTGCTCCCTAAATGACAATGACCCAGATGGCACTCTGGCTCATCAAGGACCTTTCCTCCTGAGAGGGAAATGGCATTGCAGACCTTCCAGACTTTTGATCAAAGAAATTTCACAAACTTCAAGAAATGTCTGAGCCAAGCCTTTGCTAGCAACCTATGGGCCTATTGAAAACACTCACATCAGTGGACTGGTCCCCAGCGTAATGCCACATGTCATCCACCATGCTGGTGAGCAAGCTCAGGCTGGGCGGGATATTGTGAGGGAGCAGGAGGATGCTGAGGGCCTGAAGAACAAATGACAGAGGAGGTACCACATGCAGGTAAGAGCAGCAAACACAGGGATCACATGAGGTGGCTGGGGGGTGGGGGTGGGTCACAGTAGTCAGCCTAGTTCCTGCTCTTTGAAAGCCAGCATGGGTAGATATAGCACCAAGAAACCCTGACTAGCAGTGATGCAGCCAGGGACACAGTTTTGTCCTAAGATGCCCTAATCAGATTCTCCAGGCCAACAGCTGAAATGGGAATACTGACAGCTGAAGGGGTCATTCCTAAGAGTCCTAGAGCAAGGATAAGAAGAGCACCCCATTCTGTCACAATAAATTCTGCTGCCTTGCTTAACTCAGGTTGACTCCTATTCCTAATAGGCAAAATTCTCCCAGTTGATACTAGTTGATACCAGCACTAATCTGAGAGCCTCCTTTAGAAAATACCAGCTTCTCCAGGCCTGATTGAACATGCTCTTGACACTTTACCAATTCTATAATCTTGGCTGTGGGACTGGCAGAGAGTTCCTTTACCAGCTGGAAAGCAGTCCAGAAGGCAGCACTGTGCTGACCCAGTCAACTGAAACCCAGTAAGGCACTGCCTGGACTTTATTCACCACAGGGTGATCAAAGTTCATCATCTGGCCAAACAACATTACAGTCCTTGAGAGCTGAAAAGCAGCAGGGCATTCACTGAGGAAAGACTGCCGATACCAACTTCTGACTGTTCCTCCTTAAAGACCTGGTAGCACACTCAGGGTACTGAGTCCGCCCACGGTATGAACTAGTATGCAGGGCTACTCACAGGCCCATGAGCTTGGACTCAGGTGGCTTAAGTTGTTCCCTATGACACTCCCTCTGCCAAGTACTTGGGAGAGGCTTTCCAGGCCCCATGGTGAACACTCATGAGCTAATGTCTCAACAGTGTGCTAAGTCCTCCAGGGCCACAGTGCTAAGGACGAGGCATTACTACTGTTGCTCTGCAGCTTTACTATAGTCTCTGTACCCGGGGCCAGTGCTCAATGTAGGGGATCAGCATTCTCAGTCTGGTTTCCACTGCATCCCTCAGGAACTGGTCTGTCTTCCTCTTCCTGGAGGAGGGAAAAGAAAACAGAGTGTCTCTAGTTCAAAAGCAGGGGCCACACTGCCTCCTCAGTCCCAGGAGGAATGTGCCCCCAGCTGCTGAGGACAACTGTCAGAACAGGCTGCTGGAGTTCAGACCCATCCAAGCTGCAGGCTGGTAGCACTACTCTCTTGGCACTTCTTGCATCAGCTTCCAGGGGACAGCTGATGGGGCAAGCCGCCGATCCCTTGCTGCCACCCTGAGCTATAATAAAACTTACTCGGCCTGGCCCAGTTGCACTCGTTTCTGCTCCTCTTCCAACACGTGACTGAGGCGAGCATTGCACTGGGTCACAAAGTGCAGAATCAGTTCACTGCCATCGCTCCCAAACATGCTGGCTGCTGCGCTGGAGAGACCCAAGGACTACAGGAGAGAAGGCAGCAACATGGTGGCTAAGCAGACTAGGGTTAAAAGCCTGCTTATCATGAATACCTCTTCCCTAACAGGGGCTAGATTGTCAGTAGAGACCCCTGACCCTTCACTCTGAACTCCTGTGATTGGTCTACTGAGTGAGCCCCTTAGTTTGTGCAAAGCATGACTCCAGGTGTACATGTTGGGGTTAGCAGCTCAGGAACTCAGAAATCAACCTTAGGAATCTTGCTTAGTATGGAAAGGTTCTACTTTTTTTCTGTTTCTGTGACAATACCCCTATAGACAGCAACACAAGGCTGTGGTGGTGGTGCACAGAGACAGGGTTTCTCTGTGTAGCCCTGGCCATCCTGGAACATGATCTGTAGAGCAGGCTGGCCTCAAACTCAAGAGATTTGCCTTCCTCTGCCTCCCAAGTGCTGGGATCAAAGACGATTGTCATCACTGTTCGGCTTTCAATACTAGATTTCATATACTATCATTTTGGAGAAGCCAACGCTAGAACTCAAGCAGCTAGTCCTTTAATATCCATAGTCAAGAGCACAGAGAAACAAGTGCACCCATGTTAGCTGCTTGTTTCTTCTGCTCAGTGCTGACAGCTGTCTCTGTTCTTACACAGTCAGGAGCTCATCACTTGAAATAATGCTACCTACATTCACCTCAGTAAACAATGAAGACAACCCCAGAGGCATGACCACAGGCCAATCTGATTTAGAGAATTTATCAATCAAGGGTGCTTAGGTGACTCTCGGTTGTGGCAAGTTGGCAATTAAAAACTAACCATCTTAGGAAAAGATAGTCCTCCTTCTGCTGGGCTGCACCTCCACTTCAGCTCACATGGAAGACTGCTGCAAAGGATCTTGAAGAGAACCATTCTAGGATCCTCACAGTGAACTCATTCTAGCAACACTGACCAAGACACTGAACCAGGCTCCTTCAAGATGGTCCTTCACTAAATGGGTCGAAAAAAACCCTTTCTAACATAGGCCAGTTAGAGCAGAGTTCCAGTACTGAAACTGGGCCTTAACTAACACTGCAGGGGCTACAGAGAGAACACTCCCTTCATGACACACTCCTTTCACCTAGAGCTCCAGCAAAATGAGCCTGCTAGGTGTGTGTCTTTCATTCATTCAACTACTGTTGCAGTGTGGGGTCAAACCTAGGATCTGCTGCAAGTATTCTACTAATGAGCTACATCCCAAGCTTCTGCCAGTTGTTTAAGACACAATTTTTTCATTAGAGCCATCGAGCAGCTAAACAACCAAGAGACATCCTTTGCTTTCCTGATCCATATTGATTGTTGTGCATCTACTGGAGGCAGAAGCTTGATGGCCACAGGAACAGACGGCTGGAAAGGGACAAAAATACGTTAGTATGACTTCCTCCTGCTGGGCAGGGGAACTGCCTCTCTTTTGTAGGACATGGCCATTAGGAGAGTGCCGCAGCACTGACATGAATGGCAGCTGCACCATTACTCCAGCTGCTATGCACATTCCACACAGCATCTCACTGCACCGCATACCAGCTCTATTCAGTGGGTATGTCCTGGCTGTACTTTACAAAGCAGGAAACTGAGGCTTACAGCTCTTACCCACAAACTGGGTTGGCAGAGTCTACAGGTGTCATGTACTCAGTATGAAAGAAGATAAGCAGGTGAGGAAAGCTGGTTACCACAGAATTCCGTTTCATCTGATTTTCCCCAAAAATCCTATTAATTTCTCTCACATTTGTTTCATCGATTTCTTCCCTCCCCTTCAAATTTCTGTTTCCTCTTATTCCTTCCTAACCTTAGGTTCCCTGGGCTATTACATTCACACAACAAAGAAAACAAAAGTCATTCCACGGGAATTTCCCTAATGTTCAGAAGTTTAGAAACTAAACCTGGTGAGTTTGAGGCCAGTCTGGTCTGCATAGTAAATTCCAGGACAACAGGGGCTACGTAGAGAGACACTGTCTCAAAACAAACAAACAAACAAAACACAAAACCCCAAACTAAGGCTAGTCCTTCTACCTGTTTTCCAGATCTTGCAACTTAGGAATCTCATGGTTTTGGTTTTGCCTGCCTTCTTATTTTCATCCTCACTTGTGTTTCCATCCTCTTCCCACAAGTATTTAACCATGCTCAACTTCCATCCTGCTTCCCCTGCTTGGCACAGCATTTTCAGTCTAACGGTTCTCTACTTCCTCTACTTCCATGCCACAGCCCCCTTCCTCTGACTTCTGATCCAGGACCGTATAACTATCGCTCTGATAACCAATAGCTAGCTGTGGAAGATATCTTTTGTTTTTTATCGTCTACCAGTATATTCTAACCCAGACCTACCCTTACTATCCTCCTTCCCAGCCCTTCTCTTGATGGGCTCTCAATATGTAACCCAGGCTGCCCTCAAACTTGTTACAGTCCTCCTGCCTCAGATTCCCAGTGTTGGGATTACAGGTGTGAACCACCACATAATACTGGAGTTTTCTCTCTGCACTTTATACTCTTGCCATATACTCACACCCAGACACATGCTACAGTACTCCAGATGGCTATTCAAATTGCCATCTGGAGTCCTGCTAGCTCCTCAGGTTTAGACCCATATATATGCTTGACAACTCCAGCTTGGAGGAGAGCCAGATGTTAACAAATTAAAAGTACAGAAGGCAAAATGCTTAGGTCCAGAGAGTGAAGCACGTGGAAAAACACAGCCCCACCCTTAGTTTCTGGGAGGAGAGAATCAATGAGAACAGCTCTCCAGCTTAGCCACCTAAGGTCAGTTGACGGACCAACCTCTGGAGCTATTTATGTGCCTTAAGGTCACTACTACACAGTTTCATCTGTCCCGTACACTGAGTAATGTTTACTGGGTATTGAAGGCACAGACAAAGCACTTCAAGGTTTAGACACAGACAAGGACTTTCTGAAAGGAACCAATAGTAAAGGAAACAATCAAAGAATTGACAGAGAGGATTATAACAAGTCAAAAAGCCTTTACATAGCAAAGGAAACAATCACCAGCGTGAAGAAACAGTCTGGTAGGAAATCTTTGCTAACTACTCAAGACAGATAATCAACATTTGGCGTCTCTAAAGAACTCCAGCTCTTTCACTCAGAGCAGGCAGAATCACTATCACCAAATTCAGCCAAGGCTAAGAAGAAGGACTGGGACCTTTTTGGCAAGGAAGAACTGATGAAAGGGCTAGAACATCTGAAAGTGGAGCTGTACAAACTAAATGGCACAAAACCCTGGCTCTTCAAGCTCCAAGTTGTCTGCAGATCTATCACCCATGTTTTCACAGTCATTAACTATAGTCAGAATGAGCTGGCTGTGGTAGCACAGACCTTCAATTCCATCACTCAAGGCAGAGGAGAAAGAAAATGTCAAGAAATTCTACAAGGGCAAGCCCCTGGACCTGGACTGAAGAAGATATTCACCACACTTTGTGCCCTGAGGCTCTCACAGGCCAGAAGCTGGAACAAGATATGTGCCTTGCCAAGGCTTCCAAGCACAAGAAGCTGGAGACAGGCAGCACTTCCACAGAAGCCCCTCAGCAAGGCCTGAGTGAGGCTTTGGCAACAAACACAGAGCCGGAACAACCCAAAACAAAATAGACCACTTCCAAAAATTAAACAAAAACAACTCATGCCCTGAACCATGGTGGCACACGCCTTTAATCCCAGCTCCTGAAGGCAGAGGCAGGCAGATCTCAGATCAGCCTGGTCTACAGGAGTTCTGAGACTGCCAAGGCTACACAGAGAGACCCTGTTTCAAAAACATTAAAACAAAACAAAATCCTCACAAACACACAAGAGACAATCAATAAATATTTGAAAAAATGTTAGTTAAGGATGTTGCCGTTCTCTTCTCTAGTTCAGTTTCCAGCACCCACACTGGGAGGCTCACACCGCCTCTAACTCTGGCTCCAGGGAATTAGTCCAATACCCTCTGAGTGATGCACACACATACTTGCACATACTCATAATAATAATAATAATTTTTATTTAAAACAAAACTGCTTTGAGGGCTGGGCATGGTGGCACAAACCAAGTTTTGGAAGGCAGAAGCAGGAAGATCAGTAATTTGAAGTTCAAGGCCAACCTTAGATATATAGCAAACCTGAAGCCAGTCTAACTAACACGAGACTATCTTAAAACAAACAAACAAAAATTACTTGTGAGTCAGAATGGCTACCTTTAAGAAAACAAGTGACAAGAAATGATGTCAAGGATACGAGAAAAGAAGAATTTGGTTCACTGGCCTCAAACCTGTAGTGATATTCCTGCCTCTGCCTCTCAAGTACTGGGATTACAGGCATGAGCCACTGTGCCTGTCAATACAGAAGGTAGGGACTTCAGAGACTACTGGTGGTAAGTATAGGCATTATGGAAATCAGTATGAAGGTTCTCAAAAGACTGAGAAAGAGCTACTATGTGCTCTAGCTACACCACACCTTGATGTGTACGTAAATCATTTACAAAGATATTTATACGTTTGTGCTTATTGCTATTCTACTCTCGATAGTCAAGATAGGAATCCAGTCATGATCTGGCAATTAACAGATGAATGGATAAAGAAAATGTGGTAAATATACATAAGAAAATTGTATTTAAATGTAAAGAAGTAAAGGCATTCACAGGAAAACTGATGACTCTGGGTATCATTGTTAACTGAAATAAGCTAGAGTCAGAAGAAAATATACTTGAATATTTTCTTTCACAGGTAGAATTTAGATTAAGTGTCTGTGTGTGCATGTGACATGAAAGAAAGGGGACTGTGAGGGAAGAAAATGACTAAAAATGGAGGGGGAACAAGGGAATATAATCAAATCTATGTCATGAAAGCAGTTGGAAAATTATTTGAGGTGGAAAAAGAAAGGAGCTCAACAAGAGAGAAGACAGAAGAGGGGGTAGGGACTCATGAATATGAGTATAATAATACATAGGTTTGGAATGTCATAATGAAACCCATTTCATTATGCTAGCCCCAAGATTTAATGGGTAAAAACTCAGCTGCAGAACATTTGCTTAGTATGCCTTAGACTAAGTTTCCATTCTCAATATACAATAAGCAAAACACTTTGCTGGAGTAAGTTTGAGGCAGTAAGTTTGAGGCAGTCTGGGTAAATTAACAACAATAAAGGGTAGGAACTGAAGAGATAGTTTAGTGGTTAAGAGCACTGGCTGATCAGTCTGTAAAGTGTTTAAATAAATTAGAGAGAGAGAGAGAGAGAGAGAGAGAGAGAGAGAAAGTGAGCACTGGCTGCTCTTCCAGAGGACAGAGGGCTCAATCCCCCCGACCCGCACGGCAGCTCACATCCAGGGGATCTGACACCTTCTTTCAGCCTCTGGTACAGCACGTCCCAGACATGCATGTGGCGTGCGGTCACATACCCATAACTCCATACACTGGAGACAAAAGTAACTTTTTAAATAAAAACTGAGTGTAAGAAAGAAACTTTGGGTCATTGTTCAGTGACAAAGGGCGCTTAGCTAACATGCATGAGGCTCTAGTTCAGTCTCAGCAATACTTACATAAATGATGCTAGACTTGAGGGCCTAGAGAGAGTGCTCAGCAGTTAAGAACACTTGCTTCTCTGACAGACAATCTGGGTTCAGTTCCTAGCACCTACGAGGCAGCTCACAATTACCTGTAACCATCTCTTCCAAGAGATTCAACACCCTCTTCTGGCCTCCTCAGGCACAGCCACACACGTGGTGCATACACATACATGCAGGAAAAATGCACACATAAAATAAAAATAAATAAATCCTTACATTTAAAGAAAAATATTGCTAGACTGGGCTTAACAAGAGAAGGGACTTGGTCATGTGTTCACTGTCACTGTCCCCGGCACAGTGACTGGTACACATCATTGCTCAATAAATATTTAAAGAATATACTAACAGATTCATAAATTTTTTTCGTGTTAAAAGAATAAGCATCGAAAGGTGCGCATGGTACTACATGCCTGACAGAGTCAGCAGGACAAGTTTGAGGGCAGCCTTGTTCTACATAGTGAGGTCCAGGACAGCCCAGGGTGCAAAATGAGATCCCGTCTCCAAATTAAAGAAAAACAAAACAAAAAACCCAGCAGAGGCCATCAAGATGGTTCAGGAGAGAAAAGCCCCAAGTTCGCCAAGGCAAGCTGGACCACCTGAATTCAATCCTTGAGACCCAGACGACAGCAAATGAGACCCTCCTCCTCTAACTTCCATATATGTGCACACACACAAATGAGTATAATTTTAAAAAATCAGTGTGCTTCTCAGAATTGGTGACATATCACAGCTGAACAGGCAACATCTTTCTTTTTTTGCTTTTTTTATGTCAGGGAGGATGTAGTACAGGCTGGCTTTGAATTCACTTTGTACCACATAGATGACCTTCAACCTCTGATCTATCTTCAGCTTCTGCATGCTGGAAGTACAGATGTGCAACACCACACCTGGGTTTTTTTGTTTTATTTTTATTATTATTATTATTATTATTATTATTATTGTTGTTGTTGTTGTTGTTATTTTGGATAGGGTTTCTCTTTGTAACTCTGGCTCTCCTGAAACTCACTCTGTAGACCAGGCTGGCCTTGAACTCAAGGGTACTGAGCCATGACTGACCGACTGGGTCACTTGGTTTTATGTGCTGCTAGAGATTAAACCCAGGGTTTCATGCATGCTACAAAGGCACTGTATCATAGCCAAATGCCTAGCCCTGCATTAAAAAAAAAAAAAAATCAATGCACCAAAAACAGTTTTTCTTAAATAGCAGGTGTGGTGACAGCACTCAGGGAGGCAGAGGCAGACATATCTGAGTTCGAGGCCAGCCTGGACTACACAGCAAGTCCAGGACAGCTAAGGCTACACAGAGAAATCCTGTCTCAAACAAACAAACAAACAAACACCAAACAAAAAAATCCGCAACCAATCAACCAACCAAACAAAAACCCAGTGTTTCTTAAACCAGACAAATGCCTTTAGTCCTAGCACTTAGAAGGCAGAGGCAGAAGGATCTCTCTGTGAGTCCGAGGCCAGCCTGGTTTACATAGTAAGTTCCAGGATAGCCAGCACTAGAACTTAAATAGACAGGGACTGTCTATAAATAAAATAAAATAAATAGGAAGGAAGGAAAGAAGGAAGAAACATCTCCATCCTATGGAGAAGAAAAGAAAGAAAAAGAAAACCTAGACAATCCTGTAGCTGTGAAGTTATGACCTAGGTTGGAAGGAAGCATGAGGCCCTGTGTGGTTCTGACTCTGGGTTCATTTGGGTCTGCTGCCCCACCCATCACCTCTGCCTACCTGGGCTCCTTCAGCAATGGCTTCTGCAGTCCAGCCATGGGCAGGCACAAACTCTAGGGCTGCTGTCAAGATGCGGTGCTGCAGCTGCTCCTCACTCTCATAGTCTTCTTCCTCCTCTCCACTCTGGTCTGTGTACCTGAGATACAGAGCATACATCACACCTCACTGTCTACAGCCTGACATGCAGAATGAGCCCAACCAGAAGCAGAGGTCCTGGGTCTCCTTTAAACATGTTAAGTAAGAGGGGCCTCCCTCCTGCATCTCTATGAATGTTTTAATACCAACAAGGTTCAAATCCTATCATCCTTCCCCTCATCCCACACTTGAGTTCTTTTGTTTGTTTGTTTGTTTGTATGTTTTTTGAGGCACGGTTTCTCTGTGTAGCTCTGGCTGTCCTGGAATTCGCTCAGTAGGCCAGGCTGGTCTCTAACTTACAGAGATCTACCTCTTAGATCTGCATCCTAAGTACTGGGATCAAAGCCTGGCTTTCTGTTTTTGGGTTTTGTTTTGTTTTTGTTTTTGTTTTTTTTTTTGTTATTTTTTAAAAAGGATTTTGTTTATTTACTATGTATACAGTGTTGACTAGATGTATGCCTGCACCCCAGAAGAGGGCACCAGATCTCATTATAGGTGGTTATAAGTCACCATGTGGTTGTGGGGAATTGAACTCAGATCCTCTGGAAGAGTAGACAGGCTCTTAACCTCTGAGCCATCTTTCCAGCCCCCAGGACTTGAGTTCTTACAATATGAAGACAGTAGTCCTGTAGCAGCCTGGGTTCCTGCTTATCATCCTTAGACAACCTGAGGTCCATGGGCTTCAGGTGCCCTGGGAGAGCTACGGATATGGCTCAATACATTTGTCATGTTGCAGTCACAGGTTGGACACTCCTGTTAGCACATGGTGTTTAAAGGTTTTTCTTATGTCTGCATCAGGCTCTAACTCCAAGAGAGCAAGAAAAATGGTTATTCTAGTCACAGGTATAAATCTTAAAAAAAAAAAATAAATTTTTTTTTGGTTGAATTGTAAAGCATTTTAGCTGGGTATATGGTGGGAATCCCAGCATATGGACCACTGAGACAAGTGGAAGTTCAGGAGTTAAGAGACCAGTCTCAGACACATGAAAAAGATATCTTAAACAAACAAACAAACAAACAAACAAAAAAACAACTGGGGCTGGAGAATATCTCAGCAGTTAAGAGCAGAGGATCTGAGCTCAATTCCCAGCACCTACCCCGGGCAGCTCACAGATGTTGGTAACTTAAGCTCTAGGGAATCCAGCACCCATGTGTACCACAACACATGAACGGATGGACATGGACACATACACATTTTTTAAAAACTAGAACAACTGGGCTGGGCATGGAAGCACATAACCCATCACTTGGGAGGAAGAGATAGGCAGGTTTCTGTAAGTGTTAGGCCAGCTCCCGCCAGGGCTACATATGAGACCTTTCTCAAAACAAACAAAACTGTAGAAAAACTGATGAATGCTCTCAGTTTTCATTGAGAAAAGTTCAATGTCCAGTGGCAGGATTAACAAGAAAAAAAGATCTAATGAAAACGTAAATTATTATTTCCTTGTGCAAACCAAGTTTGTCCCATACAGGCAATGAAACTTTAAATGTGTTTATCTTTTGCCTCTATGCTCTAAACAGCACTGTAGCCCAGGCTGGCCTTGAACCTGTGATTCTCCTTCTTACATGTCTATGTGCTGAATAATAGTTTTATGTCAACTTGATGCAGGCTGAAGTTATCTGGGAGGGGGGATCATTAATTGAAAAAATGCCTCAGTAAGTTCCAGCAGTAGGGAATTTTCTTAATTAGTGATTGTTGGCGGAGGGCTCAGTGCATTGTGGGTGGTGCCATCCCTGGGCTGGTGGTCCTGGATTCTATAATAGGCTGAGCAAGCCATGGTGAGCAAGCCAGAAAGCAGCACCCCTCCATGGCCTCTGCATCAGCTTCTGCCTCCAGGCTCCTGCCCTGTTTGAGTTCCTGTCCTGACTTCCTTCAATGATTGACTACAATGTGGAAGTGTAAGCCAAATAAACCCTTTCCTCCCCAACTTGCTTTTAGTCATGGTGTTTCATCATAGCAATAAAAGCCCTAACTAGGACACCTTAGTAGTGCCCATACCTAAAGAGACAGACACAATATGCTTAACTTTATCAAACAATGAAATATAAATAGTTATCAATAAGACAGGTTAATACACTTTGGCTCATTCATTACTAGAATGTTATACCACTACTAAAAAGATACAAACTGTGAAAAGACATTAAGAATCTACTCTTGAGCTGGCTATAGTATATATCTATAATCCTAGCAACTTGGAAGGCCAAGTCAGAAGGATTGCCAAGTTCAAATTCTGCCTAAGATAGAGTGAGTTCTCAACTTAAAAACAAAACAACCCCCCCCAAAAAAAAACATAGATATATCTAAAAGGCATTTTCATGTCAGCCAAGTTATCTCTGTTATGATTTCAAGTTTTCCAGAATGCTTAGATCTTCTAAAATGGAAAGGTACTGTTTTTAGCTTTAGAAATGCCTGCAAGTAGCTGCACAAAGCAGCTCATACTGTAATCCCAGGCCTTTTGGAAACTGAAGCTGGAAGATTCCAAGAGTTCAAGGGTATATAATAAACATACCCACTCAAAGAGCAAATACAAAGCCAGGCAGTGGTGGTGACACCTTTATCCCAGCACTTGAGAGGCAGAGGCAGGCAGATTTCTGAGTTCAAGGCCAGCCTGGTCTGCAGAGTGAGTTCTAGGACAGCCCGACTACACAGAGAAACCCTATTTCAAAAAAACAAAAAGCAAAAAACACAATTACAGCCAGCTACAGCGGCATATACTTATAATCCCAGTACTTGGGGAGACACAGGCAGGCGGATCTCTGTGAGTTTGAGGCCAGCTTGGTTTACAGAGTGCGTCTAGGACATACAGGGCTACACAGAGAAATCATGTCTCAAAACCAGACACCCCCCTCCTCCCAAAAAACCCTACAATCGATAAATAACAAGACCCTATCAGAAAGAAAAGATGGGAGAGGAGGAAAAGGGAGGGAGGAAAGAAGGGAAGGAAATAGAAGGAAGGAAAAGAAGAAAACTGTCTGAAGGCAAGAGGGGCAGTAAGGAAAAGGTACGTTCTGATGCATGTGAAGTGGCCAGCAATGGGTAGATCTGGACACCAATACTGACCTGGGGGGTGGACGAGGAATCTCTGAGCCCGGCCTCTCTGGCTCCTGTGTCTCAGAATGCTGCTGAGAAAAAGAGTGGGGAGGCTGCTGCTTCTGCTCTTCTGAGAACCTGAATGCCACGGAAGTGTGGAAGGCACGTGGCATCAGAGGCGATCGGCAGCGGGCCACTGAAACAGAAACAGGACTGCTGTCAGGGACATGCACCATGATGACCCTTTGAGACCCAGAGTGATGAGAGTGAGGAGGAAATGCACAGCAGGGATGCCTCTGCAGCCCCTCATTCCGGTGCTGAGTGCCCCGTAGACACTTCGAGTAAAACAGAAACCTTGAGACACGTCATCCAGTTACGAGAAGACCTGGCTGTCCTCTTGGTGTTTCTGTCATGGCTCAGAGGACACCTTTGTGGAGGCGGTTCTCAGGTAGCCAGGTTTATGTGTCAAACACCTTTACTCACTGAACCATATTGCTGGCCTCATAATATGCAGCTTTTAAAAACCCCACAAATGAAGAGTATTAATCTCTACTTGTTCAATGACAATGTTAAAGTAACCCCCAAATGTGGAATGGCATACCTATACACATAGTAAAAACCAGTGCCTACAAAGTGTTTACATGGCATTTATTTTCCTTTTTCATGTTTGTGTGGATGGGTGTGCATGTGTATGTTTGCATGCATGTGGGTGGGTAAGCATGCACAAGGACGTGGAGAATTTGGGGAATCATCCTAAAAGCATCTGTTCTTCCACGGGTGGGGTCTCTCAATCAAACCCAGAACATATGGTTAGTCTTGCTGGCCAGCCTGCACTACAGAGCCTTAATCTCCATCTTTGGGCTTCTTTTTTTGATCAAGGTCTCACTACGTAGTCCTGGCTGGCCTCAAACTCCCAGAAATCTGCTTCTCTGCCTCTAAGTTGCTGGGATTAAAGGCGTGTGCCACAGCATCCTACATTTCAACTCTGGTTCTCACACTCAAGCACTCTAACCTCTGAGCTATATCCCTAGCCTTTGCAGCCCCATTACTTCAGGAAAGATCAGTAGTCTTTCATACGCCTTTCCTCCTTCCCAACATTTTCTCATCAAAATTTGCAAATATGTAGATAGGCTGAAGGAATTGTGAACACTCTAGCTGCTACATATTTATCACATTCTTCATTAATCTACTGATTATTTATTGTGCATCTCAGTGTTGCTCATCTCCAACATCTTAGTGTATGTGGCATTAGAGTTCACTTTTTATTGTTCCTTTATGAACTGTTTATATACAACGAAATTAACAAGTCTTAAATACAGATCTTAAGTAAATCGTCCTGTGAGCAACGCAAGCACATACACTTGTGTAACGTGAACCCTGTGTAGACAGATATTACTACCACCCCAGAAACCCTTTCAGTCAACGACCATACTTGTTCTGAAACTTATACCCTAGGTTAGTTTTTGCTTGTCCTTGGACTTTATCTGTTTTTCTTTATAATCTAAAGTTTCTTTTGTTTTGTATATATTATTTATTTGGTTGGTTTTTCATGACAAGGTTTCTCTGTGTAGCCTTGGCTGTCCAGGAACTCATTCTGTAAACCAGACTGGCCTCGAACTCAGAGATTTGCCTGCCTCTGACTCCTACAGTGCCAGGATTAAAGGCTTTTTAATGGTGTGCAGCACCACTGTCTAGCAAGATTTATTTATGCGTCTGAGTGTTTTGCCTTCATGTACTCATGTGCACTACATGCCTGCTTGATACTCTCACAGGTCAGAAGAGGAAGCTGGGAACTGAATCCAGGGCACCTGCAAAAACAGCAAGAGCACTTAACTGATAAGCCATTTCTGAAGCCCTGCTTAGTTTATGTTTTTAATTATTTATTTATTTAGTGTATAGGTGTTTTGCCTATATGTATGCTTGTGCTACAAGTGAAGGCCCTGTATCTATGTGACTGGTAGGAAATGAACCCGGGCCCTCTGGAAGAAGAGCCAGTGCTCTTAACCACTGAGCCATCTGTCCAGTCCATGACTTAGTTCGTAATTATGTATATTGGCGTCAGTCTGTGTGTGGGTATGAAGAAGGCATCAGATCCCCTGGAGCTGGAGTTACAAGTGGTTGTGAAGAGCCCAACATGTGTTCTGGAAATCCAACTAGGGTCCTCCACAAGAACAGCATGTACTCCTAACTGCTCAGCCATCTCTCTGGCTTCCCCAATTAGTATATTTCTAAAAGATCACCGTAGGTAACTCTTTGAGGAGTCTATTATAACACCGGGGAATGTGTTAGTTTCTGAGAAGACGCTGAAAAGCCATGCACCTGGGTCTGCCTTACTTTCTTGTGAGTGCCTCTCTCTCTCTCTCTCTTTAACCCTTGTGCTTAAGACTACATTAAAATCTCTTTGTTAAACTTGGACTGTTTTAAACACACACATACACACACACACAAAACTAAATGATCAGCCCATAGTATTTTGAGGTATTTCTATATAACTCAGGCTGAGACAGTACTACACAAGTTCAAAAAAAAAAAAAAAAAAAAAAGGAAAAGCATGATGGCACACTCTTTTAAGCACTCAGGAGAGAGGGGTGGGCCAGTATCTGTGAGTTCAAGCTCAGTCGGGTCATATAGAGCACATTCCAGGTCAGTCAGGGATATAGAGAGTCTGTCTCAAAAATTTTTAGAAAGAGGAGGGGTGCTTTGGAGGTACCTGTTACAGAGGGCTTGCATAGTACTGACAAAGATGAATGTTTGGCTTTTCGGAGTCCAGCCATTATAAAGTTTTTGTGAACTTTTTGTGGACAGTTTCCTGGGCAAATACCCAACACTGGATTTGTTGGGACATGGGGCATAACTTTTACTAAACATATTTTTGTCTGAAACTTTAGATAAAAAAAATGACAAAATTAACTGGGAACAACATTGTAGAAAGAAACACAGAACACCATGCATATTAACATCAGCATTTTAGTATATGCAGAGAAAATGGAGCAAATACCTACAAAATTTAAAGTGAAGGGTCCCTAAAGTACGGCTGTGAAATCACAGAGATTTTAGTTGCATATTTAAGTTAATGTATTAGTGTAGAAATATTCTATTTATGGACAGTGATTTTTGCTTTTCCACTTAATGACAGTGTACAAAGTTTTTAAAGTAAACGTCTATTATTTATGTGGAAATAAAAATGCTGGTCACGTGGCAACAATAACGAACGACACCAATTTAGTGACGCGGTGTGGCAATGACTGACCCTGGGGAAAGAACGGACGCTCTCTGTGGCGGTTCCGTCTGTCCCTCCAGCAAGGCTGGCCCACTGCCCAAGGCAACAGAGTTGAGAACGCATCTGCAACAGGCGAGCTCTGTGACCTTGGGCACACCGAGCTCTCTCTGAAGCTCCACTACCTCTGGAGAACCAGGGTCATAGGCCTGCTCGCGGCTTTTGCCCCTCCCCGCTCTAGTCTAGGAGACGGAAACCCCACTAAGTGGCTTTTTCCAGCTCGAGACTCAAGCGGCTCCACGCTGATGCCCTTCACCTTGCTAACTCCCCACCAAGGCTTCTGTCGCCCCACGCCAAGCCCAGATCCGTCCCGCGCCTCCTTCCCCGCTTTCCCCCCGCGCCTCGGCTCGGCTGTCACCTCACCGGGCAGGCACCGCAGCTGCAGGAGCCTCCAGCCCACCCGGCCGAGGACGCCAGACACTGCTGCCGCCGCCGCCATCTTGGAAGTGGGCACGCACGCTGACGGCGGCGACGCGCTGGGCAGCGACATGACGTCACCGGGGCCGCGTCTACCTTCTTGTACTAGGTGCTGTTTGCCTCCTCTTCTCGCGAGAGACCAGGGACGAGAAGCCGGCGTCTGCGGAGCGGGTATTCCGGCTGGGAGGAAGGTGAGAGCGTGCGGTGCGGCTCGAGGACCAGACCGGGCTTAACGGCCCTGTTCGGGGCCTCTCTCATCTTCCGCTCTCTCGCTTCGGCCCCTGTGCCGTCATTGGCGTGCCTGGGAAAGCCGGCGTGAGGGGCCGCGGCGGCCGGGGCCCAGCGTGCGGCGGCGTGCCCGACCCCGGGGCTCATCTGCCGCCTCTTTCCGCGTGAAACCCGGAGCTGGCCTCCGGATCGCCAGTTTACTCGTAGCCGTCTGCGGTGACCTTGAGTCTCCTTCAGGGCACTTGGCGGAAAGCTCGAAAGCTGAGGAGAACCTGGAGCCACAGGTTGTCCATTTGAGCCTGGTACTTCTATCCCATGTAGGACCGACTTATCTAAGATGCTTGTTCATAAAATGAACCACCCAGGCCATTGTCCTGGAGAGTTGCCCCTGTGCCAGGGTGTGGTCCAGGGATCTAGCATTAACAAGCCAGTTTGGGAGAGGCTTGCTTCTTAGTGTCTGCCTTGCCTCCACCAGGGAAGACTTGGTGTTTGTTAGAAAGAAGTAAACGAAGTGTTTTTGTTTTCATGGTCATGGAGGAAACTCGTGTTGGTTCATATGCACATATATGGAGGCCAGAAGACAACTTTGTTTTTCATCAAACTGTTTTCATCTCCTTGGTGACAAGACCTCTCTTTGGCCTGAAGCTCACCAGTTAAGGCTGGGTGGGCTGGCTGGCCAGTCTGCCCTCCTCCATCTCCCCAGTGCTGGATTACAAACCCGGCCGCACGCGCCTTTAAAAAGTACATGTGTTCTATTTTGTGTTATTGTGGGGAGGGGGCGGTGGCGGCATGTGCACAGTGGAACTCAGCTGACAACTTTCAGGAGTTGGGGTTCTGAAGGTTAAAGTCAGTTGTCAGGCTTGTGTAGCAAGCACCCCACCCACCGACTCATCTTTATGGCCCCCACACCTAGGTTTTCTGTGTGCGTTCTGGGGTCACACTCAAGTCCTTGTGCTTGCAAAACACAGGCTTTTCCCGCCGAGCCATCCCTGGAACCTGTTAATGGTTTTTTGAGAGAAGAGTTTTCACTGAGGAGCCCAAGCCTCACAACTCATGATCCTTCTTCAGTCTCAAAAGAGAGCTAGGGAGAACAGGCAAGCTCCGCCATTCTTGGCTGTTGGTATTTGTTTGGCTTTGTGGTATTGAGCCCACTGGCACTTGCTAGGTAAGCACACACCACTGAACTGTATCCCTATCCCTAATCAGCCACACCTGCAACACTGTCATCTCCAGCCCCTCAGCCACCTTCCATGGGACCACAAGCCTGTTAGGTGCCTTAAAGATAAATAAGCCTATCTCCACAAGTTATTTTCAGACATCTGCTCTTACTGCCTGCTGGTAACTTATTTTTTTTTTTTTCTTTGAAATGGGGTCTCACTATGTAGCTTTGGAACTTGATCTGTAGAGCAGACTGGCCTCAAACTCCCAGAGATCTGCCTGTCTTTGTCTTGGGCGAGTATTGGTGTTAAAGGCAAATGCCTGTGTGCTAGTAACATTTTTGAAAAGCCATTGGTAGATGTTGTCAGTTGCAGAAGCATCTAACAAGCAAGGTCAGTTATGTGATATTGACTTCTTCACCTCTTTATAGTTGTGAAACAGCCCTGAGTCACAGCTCCTAAGTCCTCAGGCTTAGGCACTGGTTTTTTGTTGTTTTTTTGATAGTTTGTTTGTTTGTTTGTTTTAAACAGATTTGCCACAGTAACAACCACAAAACAAATGGGAATTGTCACACCTCTGCTCCTAAAGCTTAAAAGAACATTGTCTGTTTAGGAAATGCTGATTGAAGGCTTGTAGGTGTGTGTTTTGGTGGAGGGGGAGGTTTGAGGTTGATCTACTCATGAGGTCCCTCTTATGGGAAGCAGAATGCTTTATTTACATTCTGTAATTTATTGACACAGTCCTACTGGTCCTGGCATGAAAAAGTCCAGGCTCTCCTGTGAGGTTCTAAAGATGAAAGAGAAGCTTTGCATACCTTCCTTACAAGCATCTTTAACCAAGACTGTTAGAACTGGCTGCAGAGACGTGGAGGCCCAGTCTTTTCAGAACATTATCTCATTGAGCCCTATGTCCAGGCATCTGCTGAGTGCTTTACATAACTTACTTAAGAGTTTCTTAATCAGTCTTAAAAATATGAGGTTACTTAATGTTCCTGTTTATTGACAGGAAAAGAAACTCAGAAAAGCTGACTTTGCCATAGTAGATAGATCTACAGGTTGCTTTTTTAATAACTTACGACCCAGCAGTAAGTACTCTTGCCTTCCCCGGGCAGGTCTTAAATGTGAGATTGATTCCAAGTTACCCAACCTAAAGATTTACAAGGATTCTTTCTCAACATTATGTGTCAATTAAAAGCTTAAAAGTGTTCATTCTTGATGCTCTACTTTTTAGGGATTTAAAATCCAAAACTAAACAACCAAGAAATCCTGTTTGTCTGATGACCATGGGTCATCCTTTTACTTGGGCTTTCTGCTGAGTCAGGGTAGCCCAGACCTGCTGTTCACATGAAAACAACAACAACAACAAAAAACTAAATAAAAAGGTATGATTGAGAGAAAATGCAATAAGGGGAGAGACACTTTGGACTGGAAACCAGATTTCAATCTAGCCAACTGCAGAGTTCAATTTTGCTGTAGAAATTAAAACCATTAGTAACTTAGTTCTGAAATGACAAAGCACTGTGTAATCAAGGGTAACTGGTTAAAGGTCATGGTTTTTAGATACTAAAAAAATAGTAATCCTAGTACTTGGGAATTAGAAGAAGGAGGATCAGAAGTTCAAGGCCAGCCTGGGCTATATGAGACCCTAACCCCTTCTTCCAAAAAAGTAACCGAAATGAAATGAATTTTTAAAATTACATTTTATTTGTATGTGTGTGCCCACCTGTGCCATACCTACACATGTAGAGGTCGTAGGAAAGCGTGTAGAAGTCAGTTCTCTCCATGTGCATTCATGAAGATTAAACTCAGCTCATCAAGCTTGGCAATAAGTGTCCTTACCTGCTGATCCATCATGCTGGCTGCTGAAGTGACTTTTTATAGAAGCAAAGTATAATGCATGTGACTTAAATTCAGCCTGGGAGCGTGATGGTGTCACTGTGTCAGAGTTGGACATCTCTGCAGAAGTCAGAAGTGTTCAGTATGAGCCTCCTGCCACCGCTTCTTTGTTTCCCTTACTTGAAGCTAGAAACTTGGTAGCATTAATGTTTAAGGATGGAGGAGCTGAACAGAGGTATCCCTTGACCACCTTCACAGTGAGCATCTTGTATACAGGCTTGCATATTGAGTGGAAGAGAAAGTTGGTCCCGGGTGGGAAGTTTTCATGCTTGAAACACAGTTTTGAAAGCCAGGCGGTGGTGTCACACACACTTAATCCCAGAACTTGGGAGACCAGGCAGCCTAGTCTACAAAGCGATTTCCAGGACAGCCAAGGCTACATAGAGAAACCCTGTCTCCAAAAACAGAACAAAACAAAAAACCATAGGTTTGGATTCTAATCCCAGCTGTTTTACACTACATAATATTGGTTGTATACTGGGCTGGCTGGCCTAGTTCTTTACCAGTACATTGGGAATGACCTAATATCAGGCTTTTTTGAGGGTCAGTTGATTTGGTGTATGTATAAGGTGCTGTAAGGAGTCTGGCCAATGTTAAATGTTGAAGGCATTGTTGGTTACTGCAGATTCCGTGGAGCTGAAATTTTGTAAGTAATGAAAATAGTGTTTGGTGTACAAATTTTAAGTATCTTTTAAAAAGGCTAGCTATATTAGGTTTTAGCTATATCTGTCAGTTTATTGCCTTCCTCGCTGACTCACTTCTGCCTGATGAATGCCCTATTTGTTTATAGTCTGCTCAAACTGAATTATCTCAAAGATGAAATAATCTTTCTGTCTCCAACCTGCTTCCTTGACTCTAATCCTCTATCTATCTGTCTACTTGTTCTGTCAGGGAATGTTGGATTGTGAAGCCTTTAGGCTTTAGGTTCATTAGTCCAGACTCTTAGGGTCAACACCAATTTTTGTAATAACCTTAGTGGGAGGTTGTTGGAAGTAGGCTATGATTCTAATCATACTTGGTAATAATCCGTGGATTAAATTGCACTGTTGTCTTGATTTCTTTTGCCAGTAGCATTTAGGTCCAGCGGCCTTACAGAAATGGCAGAGTTTGGGATCTCCCCTGGCCAGTTTGTGGCAGTGTTCTGGGACAAGTCATCTCCTGAGGAGGCCCTGAAAAAATTGGTGGATAGACTTCAAGGGTTAACTGGCAGCGAGGGCCAAGTATTCATGGAAAACATCAACCAGCTGTTGCAGTGTAAGTACCCTTTTCTTCTCATAGGGCTAGAAGAGTTTTGCTAGAACTGTTTTAGTTCCTGACACTTGAGTTTTGTGTGGGGTAATCTTTTTGCTTTTCAGATGAAATATAGTGGACTTGGGCATGTATTTGGTAATCTCTGCATGCTCTTGTTCTTTGGAGGCTGTTTTTTGTTGTAAAAAGCTTCTTTTCCCTTTCTTCCCCTGGTCTTATTAAGGTTAAGAATTAGTAAGATAACAGAGCAGAATAGAGATTCAGCAGTCTTTTGCTATGTAGACTTACTGTGTGCTGTGTAAGGTCATTGTCCTGGATGATGGCTGGGTCCTCTGTGGGAGCTCTGTGGGAGAACTGAGAGATTGCTCCTCAGCTTTGACAACTGTTGAATACTCTTTTCAGCTGCCCATAAGGAATCAAGCTTCGATGTCATTCTGTCGGGTGTAGTCCCAGGGAGCACCTCTCTGCACAGTGCTGAGGTTCTGGTGGAGATGGCCCGCATACTTCGGCCAGGCGGTTGTCTTTTTCTGAAAGAACCAGTGGAGACAACTGTAGGTGA